CAGCTTTTTTCAGTCATGAAAATAGAAACAGCAGCAACAGTGTGCAGCACTCAGGTTAATGTGACAGCTACACATGAATGGTGCACATGATAAATATACATTTAAGGTCCTTTCATGCTTACCACGCCTAAATAACAGCCAGCTCTGTCTCAGTGTTCTTCCACTACTGCATTTATGGAGTAAGGGAAGGCTGCGAGGAGGGCTGGAAATGGCAGTGCTAATGAGAGCAGCAGATGTCATTGCACTTTACTCCATTTCTGCTGCCGCTGGTTATAAATTCAGGTGGGAGATGTCAAAAAGCCAAAGAAGTAAAACTCTCTTTTGTTCATTATCTCGCCCAGGAGTCGACATGTTCATATCGTCAGGCTTTCCACGATGGTAGCTTTGTCTCTTGTTGTTTCACTGAGACTTCACTCTTTTTCAGGTGCCAGGAGACAACGAGAAGCACTGGAAGCCAGTGTTAGTGGTCTTGACGGAGAAAGACCTCTTAATATACGAGAGCATGCCACGGATGAAGGAAGCTTGGTTCAGCCCTCTGCATACCTATCCCCTGCTAGCCACCAGGTACCTGTGCTTTTTTGTTACAATCGCTTCAAGAGCGGTGGGAATGGCTGAGCCATCTGGGAACAGCTACAGCTGGTGCATAGTTATATATCACACTTGAAATGTCGTGGTTTGAGAGGTAGATTCTTCTTCAATGGGCTCAGTTTAACTCCTTACTTTTCCTCCATTTCAAATTCTGGCTGAGGCTGATGGCCAGAAGCACACCAGAAGGATTATGGATGTGGCCGTCTGGCCTGGATCCAGAGGTAGGAGTGCTGAAAAAGCCAAGAGCTCGATCTCCTGACATTTCTATCTTGGTGTACAGACCTGAGGGCTTGGCAGAAGCACTCAAATTTCCAGCCACTCCTCCAGGCTGAAAAACGTGAAATTGCTGCCCGCAGTTGGATGTGCTGCTGTGGCAGTTTGCACCACCAGTTAGGGGCTTTTTGGGGCTCGCTTATGTGGTGGAGACACTTAATTTCAGCATGGCTTGTGTTCCTGCTCTAGCAAATGAATTCCTGGCTTTTTTAGCTTAAAATGGTGAGCTTGGAAGACAAATTCTTGAATCCAGATTGGAAATCTGCATTATTTCAAAGGTATCCATCAACACTAATTCAGAGAGAGCTTTCCCATGGTTGTCTTTATGCAGTGGAAACTGTCTGTTCTTCTTGATGTGAGTCTTAATCGCATTTCTCTGCCAGTATGGTCAAAGGGCTTGAGAAAGAGCTGCTGTTATATTGTTTTGGCCTTGCTACAGGCCTCTATTATAACATTTTCAATGAGTTCTCATTCAGAAGGGCTGGTAGCACATGGCCAAAAGCAGTGGGTCTCTTACTGCACTCTCATTAGTTAATTTTTGTTCTTGGTCTCTTAGTTCTCTCCGCAAATGAACTGAGGCTTTGCTGCTAAATCATTATATTAAAAAAAAAAAAAAAAAAAAATTGAACGCGGTGAATTACACTGATGGTTGTTTTGTCCCAGTCTACCTACCCGTGATGGAGCTTTCAGACTTCCTGGGAAGCTGGCTTCTGACTCACCCTTTGTTATCATAACGTGAGGCGAGAGCCCCATGCTTTGCAGCTTGCAGCCTGCTGTGCATCATGGCAGTGAAGGTCACTGAGGCCTTAGAGTTCGTGAAGCAAGAGCACCTCAGCAGAAGGTGATGCATCTCCTCCCCAGTGTTTTGGGGTGTCATTTGTACGTGGACCCAAGTCCTTCTTCTTACAGTGACTGCAGATCCTGCAGCACACCCTGCCCCTTCCTGTCCACACGTCATCACGTGTAAAGGCAGCCCTTTGGTGCGCATCACCAGCCCCCATCATCAGTGACCACTGATTTACTAGATCAGACAATCTAAGTCCTCGGCTTGAAGGGCCTGTAACTTAATTACTTTTTCTTGGGAGTTCAGATCTGATAGCAGACTGTCTTGCCTTGGGTGGGGATCATCACCTCCTTGTCCAATGCAATTCCTGTGTGAATGGAGGAGCATTGGCCTTCAGGCTGGAGGGGAATGAGAAGTTGCTCGACACAGGTCACAGGTCAGGCTGCTGAAGGGTCTTTACGGACTGGGAAAACAATCTGTAAGGAAGATGGGATGCAGTTCAGAAAGCACAAAGTTCAGTGCTGGGGAATAATCAGCTGCGCTGGGTTGGAGTGGAGAACAATTGACAAAGTAGTTACTGTGCCAGGAGGCGTCTGGGCAGTGTGGTGAAATTGTTTAAATCTACGGTGTTATGTTGTTGAGAAAACAAAGACAATCATCTTGGGTTATAGCAAAACTGTTGCATGTTGGGCAGATGTGGTAATCTAACTACAGAGCATGAGTAAACCCTCAGGTGATACACCACCTTCATGTGAGGCATTGCAGTTCCAAAAAGATGCCAGTTAACTGTAGAAGGTCTGGAATAAAGCAATACAAATGTAGAAAACACTATCAGTAGGGGAATACTTAAGAAACCTTAGCTGTTTAACCTAGAGAAGTCCATGGAAAACATGTCAACAGTTTTCAAGTATGAAAATGAGACGCAGGGAGGACAAGAGACCATGTTCTCCAGGTCCCTGCTGGATACAACAGGACATAGTTGGCTGCATTTGTGGCAGCGGGGGTTCAGGTTAGGTCCTGGCATACACTTGGTGTGCAGGTGAGATACTGGATTAAATTCTTTAGGAAAGGTGTATGATCCTCATCACTGGGGACTTTGAAGGATGGGTGACACTGTAAGCCTCAGGAGTGTGTTGGCATGGTTAGCCCTGCTCTGGGAAGGGATGCGCTGGGTGACCTCCTGAGAACCATTCCAGCCCTATCTCTGGGATTTCTTACTAGTATTGCTGTGAATTTAACACTCGGGTAAAAAGACAGCAGATGTGCCAAACCTGACATTCAGAATGGAGTTGCAATCTGATAAATACATATAAATACATGAATCCCCAAGGTGAGCAGAGTACCTAAATTGACAGATTCCCTAAATCATTACACCTACTGTTTTGGATGATTTTGATTAAAACCCTGCAGGATTCTGCTTTTATGATCAGTCACACTGAGTACAGTTATACCAAAAAATTACACCAGGTTTGCTGTTGGTATTGACTGCTGTGTTCATGCTCGGTCAGTGATTACCTTCCTCATGATGGGTTTTTTAATCCCCTCCGTGCACTGATCAGTGCAATTTAGAACTTTTCACCTGGAAAGTTTGCAGACCACATGTTGTAATCTTGGCTGCTCCCATCTTTCATATTTTTATGAGTCCTTGGGAAAAATTTTTGCTTAGCTAATGCATATTTGAAAAGCTGCTGAAACTGGAAAACTTCAGTGCCAGATACTGTACAGAGTCATGCTTAATCTACCCTAGACATAATGAGCAGAGAAAATTGGAAAGTGGTAGAAGGATTACAATCTTCCTACAATATTTTAACAGCAGAATTTCAACATGCCCTTTCTGTTTGTTGATAAGTTTGCCTTCAACCTATGGATGCTATTAAGACCTAAAAATATTTTCCAGTCAGTCTTTCCCAGTTTTGTGCGGCATGTAAGTAATAGCTCAAATAAAACTGAGATCAGGAGATTTAAGTTGCTCCTTTAAATCTCTGCACTGGCAGGCAGAGCACTGGCTCGTAGCCCTGACTCCAAGGACCTGTTTGTCATAATCTCTGTTTCAGTGTTTCCTTATGCCTGAATAACAGTGCCTCCCTCTAGCATGGGAACGGGGCTTAAGTAATTACATCTTAAATGTTTGCAATCAAATTGTGTTATCTATCATAGCCAGATACAAAATGGGAAAAAAAAAAAAAAGGCAACCCATGTTGGACTCTGATCAGACAAGTAGCTTTTGTGTGAAGCTGAGGTCTGTAACCAGAAAGTATTAAAGCAGTTTGATAGTTAATGCCATGGAAAGCTGGGAAAGGAGTTTGGGCACCAATTAGTCATCTGCTCTGCAAGCAGAGAGAGGGGCAGGCGGGGAGCACTGGGGGCCCTGAGCACCCCAGGGAAGGTGTGTGAGGTGGCGTGCAAGCAGGGCAAGTTCTCCACTCGTCTTCCCAGGGCAGTGAGGGTGGTTGTGGCTCCCTCCATGCGGAGCTCGGATGAATGAGGGCCTGTGCACAGGTTTCCAGAGAGTACAGCCATTCCAGAGCAGGTTTCAAATGCTAAGTCAGGGGTAAGGAGTGGCTTCAACATAAGAAAGGTCAGATGATAGTGGCTTTCTACTGGGCAGAGCTGCATGACTGTGGATGAACTTGTATCATGGCCTCTTCTGAGATAAATCTCAAATGAGCCGCTGAACACTTGCTTTGAATGTCAGTGCTGCCTTTGGTGTCCTTTTTGAAAAGGCCATTAGATTCTGCTGTTGCAGTAAATGGTTGAAACTCTTTTCACAGCATTAGAATGAGAAGCAGGTCCCAGTGAGTCTCACCCAGCAGCAGCACTTCACGTTGGACCGTACCCATCCCGCTATCACACGTTTGCAAAGAATAATGCTAAAAACCTCCACAAAACATAGAGAGACAAGGGAGAAATTAGAGAAGATTAAAAGTGTCTCCCTGGCTCCCTGGAGCATGCCAGGAGTTGCATTTTACAGCTGCTGCCTGCTATCTACACGCTGTGAAGACTTGATCGTGACCAACCTTCTCCTGCCCTCTTGCGGCTTTGGCTGCTCCAGGGAAGCGTGCTCGGGCTCCTGCATACTCAAAGACATCTCAGAAACCTCTACCGAGGCCAGTAACCTTCAGGGATTACAGCTAAATATTACCAGAGCTGGCCCTGGGGTGCCCTATGGGGTGCAGCGTGCACCACACACACAACCTCCGCTGCGGTCGAGTGACAGGAGGCGGGGGCGAGGGGAAGCCTTCTGTGAAGTTTCTAAGACTATTTTTTGCCTTTTAAGGTATTTTTGTGGTCTTTAGGATAAAATACCTTTTATGTAAATGAAATGGCTTCCGTGAATGCAACTTTATTAAAGACTGGGGATCCTTTGACCTGTACCGAAATACATCAGTACTGATAGCTGATAAATAAATACTATCAAATGTTCCCCTGTATATTTGTCTAGTTCATGTTTAACTGCATGATTTTCAAAAGCACAATCTGGAGTTGTATGATAGAAAAAGATTTTTACATAGTGAGACTGAATTTTTAATAATGAGGGGATAATGCGAATGAGAAGGCAGGCAAGAAACAATGTTCATATTGGATGTGTCCACATACTTTAACTTGTAAAGTATATCTTCATTCTATCCATATGCTGAAAAACCTACAATGCCAGTGCTATGGATAAAGCATGAAGATGTAGGAGAGCAGGGGGGTGGATTTGAAAGGAAATAAAATATTGGAACCACCTGTCTGTCACGTATTCAGTATCACAAGTATTAGAAAACAATTTTTGGTACAGCTGATGAGCACTGTATAAAAGAGGAGGGATAACACAGGGAGAAGCTGCGATGATAGTTTTACTTTTAATTACAAAATTGATGTGATTTTTCAGGCTGCTTTCCTGTGGTTGTCCATCCCCACTGCCCCGGTAGCAGAAGGCAGCGTGAGAGCAGCAGCCCTGCCTGCGCCTGAGTGACTGGATGGGGCCAGGCAGCAGCAGGAGTCACTGGAGATTTCAGTTCCCGATCCCCTGCCTTAATTATCAAGATGCAGCTTCTCCTCGGAGTTTGCACCTCCTCACGCCAAATCAAAGTGAATAAAAGTTTTTGGGCTGTTAGTTTGCCACTGACTCCCCAATGGCAAAATGTGCCTGGGGTGCAGTTAGAATCATAGAATCATTTAGGTTGGAAAGGACCTTTAAGATCATCGAGTCCAACCATTAACCTAATACTGCCAAGTCCACCACTAACCTGTGTCCCTAAGTGCCACATCTACACCTCTTTTAAATACCTCCAGGGATGGGTACTGTCATGGTTTAACCCCAGCTGGCAACTAAGCACCACGCAGCAGCTTGCTCACCCTTACCTCCCCCCCTCCCACCCTGGTGGGATGGGGGAAAGAATTGGGGAAAAAAAAGTAAAACCCATGGGTTGAGATAAAGGCAGTTTAATAGGACAGCAGAGGAAGAGAAAAATAATAATAAAAATAATGATAAAAGTATATATAAAACAAGTGATGGACAATGCATTTGCTCACCACCCACCAACCGATGCCCAGGCAGTCCCTGAGCAGCAATCGCTTCCCCCAGCCAGCTCCCCCCAGCTTATATACTGAGCATGACATCATATGGTATGGAATAGCCCTTTGGGCAGTTGGGGTCAGCTGTCCTGGCTGTGCCCCCTCCCAGCTTCTTGTGCACCTGGCAGAGCATGGGAAGCTGAAAAGTCCTTGACTGGTATAAGCAGTACTCAGCAACAACTAAAACAACAGCGTGTTATCAGCATTATTCTCATACAAAATCTAAAACACAGCACTATGCCAGCTACTGGGAAGAAAATTAACTCTATCCCAGCTGAAACCAGGACAGGACTCAACCGCTTCCTGTTCCAATGCTTGACCACCCTTTCAGTGAAGAATTGTTTCCGAAGATCCAATCTAAACCTCCCCTGGTGCAACTTGAGGCCATTTCCTCTCATCCTATCGCTAACTACTTGGGAGAAGAGACCAACACCCACCTCGCTACAACCTCCTTTCAGGTAGTTGTAGAGAGCGATAAGGTCTCCCCTCAGCCTCCTCTTCTCCAGGCTAAACAACCCCAGTTCCCTCAGCCGCTCCTCATAAGGCCTGTGCTCCAGACTCTTCACCAGCCTCGTTGCCCTTCTCTGGACACGCTCCAGCACCTCAATGTCTTTCTTGTGTTGAGGGGCCCAAAACTGGACACAGTATTCCAGTCTCCAAAACACACATCAGTGTCGAGTACAGGGGGATGATCACTTCCCTGCTCCTGCTGGCCACACCATTCCTGATACAAAAGGCCCTGAGAATCAAAGCTGAGCAGGGCGTTAACACAGACCTTCTGGAGGCAGAAAAAGCATTTGGAGAGGGTGGCGGTGCCTCTCTGGAAGAGGCTTTCCTGTCCAGACACAGGGCAGGACAGCTCTGCCTGGGATACTCTGCCACTTCCCTCCTGGGACCATGAAATCAAGGCAGATGCTCAAAATCCAAAGGAAGTTACCATGAACCTGAGCATGAACAAATCTTGCAAACATTCTAGCAGGGTATGAAAGAGGGATGTATCTGTTCAGTACAATGCGCATCCCAAATGTCAGCATGGACTGCCAGGGAAATGGGGAAAATCTCAGATGCCCTATGGTTACTGTTTCAATAACTGAAAGCTAAAGTTGTGCTTTTTTCTTTCCTTTCTGTTTTTTTTCCTGTTAAAACATCCCTGTTTGATGGCATACTTCTACAGTGTCAGCTAACAGGCAACTATTCTTCCAGATGCAAAACAATAATTTGAGGGTGAATTAGCATTCAGTAGATGATTAGTATAATCTAATGTTTTATGCTTCAGCACAAGTATTCTACTACCATGCTACATACTTACTTTATAGTCTCTCATGAAGTACATTGTTTGCCTATAGAAAGGGAAACAGAAGGCACAAGCTTTTCAGAAGAATTTCCATGGTTTCATTTTGTGAATCTCTCTGAGGCTTAGTGCCTGGGTCTCAAAGAGTGATGAACTCCTCTGGATTATTATTTTCATCTGATTCAGTGTCATGTCCCTGAGTGAATCCTGTGTTCACTGTCCACACTTCTGCAGGAAAAAAACCCAAAAGGACAGTCTTAAAGAAGAATTAAATCTTATGAGGTATTGATTTTCTCACTCAAAAATATTCACTGCAATTAGTGTTTGCCCAGCTGAACAAACCTTTCCTGGTCATGGGAGATCAGCTGTTGATGCCAGGCAAAAAAAATGTTAATTGCAACAAAATGTGAGAGAATTTCAGATTACAAATAGCTGCAGCATTTTGCGTTTTGCAGGTTCCTTATGGGAAAAGTATGTACAAGACAGAACTTTGGCATCTGCGTATTTTACAGAACTTCTTACTTTATCTGACAGCGTTTGTCATTTAATTTGTCTGCAGATATTTAAGCTTTATGGCAACTGCAGCCTCATACTGAAAGTTGGATTCAGCTGCCTCATCTGAGCGAGCGCTTGTAACTGTGCACTAAACCCCATTGCCACAGACCAGTGATTTTTCTTGGTTCCTCATCCAAAGAGGTGTTTTCCACAATTCTTTAGGAATTTAGGGCCCTCTGGGACATCCCCATCATCAGCTGCATGTCTGGCTGCTTCAGTACTCACTGCTTTGGACCTTCACTCTTCTATGTGTCACTAGGAGTCACTTTAGGCTCAAATACAGAGGAGATACAGTTCTCATGCTCCCAGCCACATGCATTTAGGAACGTACAGAGCAGAGCTGTGCTCAGATGATTTTGGTGCAGTGCATTGTGTCAGCGTTATAATTCCCTGATGTGTTTTCAAATCCAATTGCAGGTTGGTCCATTCTGGCCCAGGAAAAGGCTCACCGCAGTCGGGGGTGGATTTGTCTTTCGCAACCCGTACTGGTACAAGGCAAGGGATTGAAACCCATCTGTTCAGGACAGAGACTAGCCGAGACCTCTCACTGTGGACGAGGAGCATAGTGCAGGGCTGCCACAATTCTGCAGAGCTCATCACGGAAATCACCACATGTGAGTAATGCCTGCAGCGCTGCATCTCCACACCTCCTTCTGACACTCGTAGGTAGTTCAAGCTCCTTCTGCTAGAGGTGATTCATTTAGAAAAATGTGCATATTTAGGGTTCTATGTGTTTACTGTCCCCTTGGTTTCAGTTCCAGCTGGTGTGGTACCTGTGGCCACAGTACCTGTGGACACAGTCACTGTCGTTCTGGCTTTTGGTCTTGTTTTCGGCATGTTGTTTCAGACACAAGTCTGTAGTCAGCCATATAGGGCTGCGTGTCACAGAGGATTCATTATCAGAGGTTTGTCCAGGAACCCACAGAAAAGAGCGTTTTTCTGGGATTCAGGAGACTCCTGAGAGCCTGGCATGAGTTTCTTCTGCAGAGGGAGGAGGCAGAGGAGGACCGGCACATTCCCAAGCGTGAATTGGTCATTTATTCACCCAGCTCTGCACAATTCAGAAGAGTAAAAAAATTACAAACCAGTCCAATAGTCACATTTTGACGGCTAGTCATTTCCCAACCTGAACATCAGGGTGTCATTTCTCAGCACCTCTCTGCATGCAAAATCGACTGGAATAAAAGTAATCGGCTGTAGATGCTCTGGAGCAATGCCCCGTTCCGCCAGGTAGCTGCTAGCCTGGGGTGGCTCTGGGGCTTTGAGGCTGTGCCTTTCTCTTGAGTGCCCCCACGATTTGGCAGTCTTTCCCCCACTAGCTCTCCAGTTGACAGAGCTGTTAAAGTTGAACATTATCTCCACTCGTTGCCTAAAAAATATGGGACCTGATGAGATGCATCCCAGAGTCCTGAGGGAATTGGCTGATGTAGTTGCCAAG